CTCCTCTTAATTAGCCAACTCATTTGCATTCTCCATTACTCCACTTGAAGCTACGACGGAAAGCAGCAAACATGTGAACTCTGCTGCTGTTGATATGCATCCATTTCATTTGTATGAACTGGGTGCCTCTCATTTTATGCGGAGCTATTGCATGGTTTTTTGCTGGAAGAAAGGATTCTAGTCGCTCTGGAATCAACGATAGGTTCCAAGAAATCTATTCTTCTTTAAAATGATGTCAAGGACAGTGTGAATGCCAAAGAGAGGATTTTGATTGTCGTCTTGTAGTCATCACCGCTTAAAGTGATGCCTCTTCTTTTATCAATAGCAGAGGGATTCTGCTCTGACTCTGACTCTGAGTATGTACATGTATGCTACATCCAACCAATACTATAATTTTGTACGGTTGATGGGTTAAAGGTAAAGACCAGTATTGGAAATGCCCCAAGTTCAAAAAATGAAATGGAAGCTCTCATTACCAATCATGTGAAAGAATATGTTTTGACTAATACATGATGATAAAAAATTTGCCGGGAAACCGCCTACTAATTCATATATTTGGTAAATTTGTTTCTCTCATGGTCTGTGAGAGATATAGGGTAGTCCCATATACATCTTTCTGTGTATAGTGCTTGTAACTTTACGAAGAATGGGCCAAATTTCTTATCATTTTTATGATTCCAGAACCTTGCAGATGCTAGATGCTTGATGATCAACCTTTTCTGATCGATTCCACAACGTTTCTTTCACAATGCAATCGCATGACCATAACTGGTCTTTACCTTTAAATAATTCTCTCTTTTTTGCACTCGCTCTCAATTCAAGATGCTGCTGCCATACAAAGTTATTCACTGTTTACACATGCATGCTTTGCTTGATGATGTATAGTACTAATGTGTGACTGGTGATGCTGAGAGTGGATACTGCTTCACATGTTGAAAGTGCAATTATTGGTTTTTTAAGATATATGATAAAAGTACTAATTATCGCATTTACAATGTATGTGCACCCTTATAAGTTATAGGTTTTAAAGTGCCATGAGCTAATATGAAGCATTTAAAAGCATTGTCTTCAAAATGTTGGTCACGCAAGCTCCCAGTTAAGTTCTCCTAATTTGAATTACATTTGTAAGAATGATACTTGAAAGGAAGTTTATGCTTTTAAATGCATGTTGTATTTGTATGGAAACATACTAACATACATGTACATTGTACTTTTACAGAGCACACTGCACATCATGCATATTCTAGGAATGTAATTTTCAGTGTTGGTGTTACTCGTACAGTATTATGTGAACGTGTCACACATCAGTTCCGTTTTAGCTCCATTGAAAATGGTTTGTTCTCATTCTGATAAAAGCACTCATACATGTGTAGATGTACAGTGTACTACAGTGTATGGTATCTTGGGGCCCAAAATGTTATTGCTTGAATCAAAGACTAAATTCATATGATGTAAGATCTACATGTATTAACAGTGTTAATCCTTTCCTGAAGTATACTAGCTATTGTGTACATGTAGTACATTTATGTGTATTTGCTTCATGTAAAAGTTCAAAATAGATTTAACAAATGCTTCCCAAAAATGATATTTAATTGCATCGTTCTTCCAGAAGGAATACTTATTCGGAATGTAGATTTCGATATCCTTTGGTACGAAATGTAGTATCAGATCAGTTGCCATTTTTATGTTTTAGACATTACCCACTGAGTCACTGGTACATGTGATAATACCTGCTGGCATACTACAGTGGTATATGGTGTGTGTGTGTGTGTGTGTGTGTGTGTACACATCACTTTTGAGGTGTCACTGTCAACCACATACCAGGAAGAAAGGAAAACCAAATCACCTGAAATATCCATTACATCATTACAAACGGTTTAAAAATTGCATGGAGCCGGCATTTAATATTTTTTTCATGAATCCCCTTTTCAGTTTGTTTGGGACAAGGTGTTCCTACGAGTCACACTTTGTGATCTTTAGATTAGGAAAAGGGATTTTTGTGGTTTCGTCTGGACAAAAGGTATTTACATGTACATCAAGCCAATATATCAATCAATTATTAGGCTGTGCTATAGAATTCAACCGATACAATACATCAAGAAAGTCACTTTTGACTGAAGTTGTCATGATATTCAAATGTAAATTACAGTGCAGCAATTTGACATACAAGTATATTACTAGTTACATTGTCTGTTTAGAGCCAGTAGGGTATTAATGGTGTGTACTTAACAAGTTTTCACAACCTTCTTACTCCAAACAGACTACATATATAGTAAAAGTCCACTCTGATATAAGTTTGTTTATAATAAAAGTAAGTTTTAAGTTAGAGGAAAATACAATGGAGATAAAAATGTAATATTTTTAAAGTTGTAATACTTTTTTTCAAATATAAATTTACATGTAAATTGACAGTTGCTTACTAGCAAGCATTTATGCTTTCTTAGCAGTCAGGTAAAATAACCACCACTAAAAAAAACCTTTAAAACCTCTTAATTTCCCTTGCAAATACGTGTAGCCGTTCATTTTAAAAACTGAGAATTATCAAAATTATTCCTTGTTTGATTGTTGTGAAGAAATTGATTTCTTTTATCAAGGTGCTCTGTACAAACATGTTTTCAATGAAATAGTAGCGCACAGGAATAGCAATCTTGTGTCGAAGAAAAAAAGAGGAATTGAAATATTACTTCTTTAAATGGTAATTACTTAATGCTAAGTGGACTTTCAATCTGATATTGTACTTCAATGAGAGATTCAACTGTGTATTAATTAATTAAATCTTTTGCTTGCGTGAGATTTTTGAATTTGCATAGATGGTGCAAATTGTAGCAAAAATCTCCCACTTGTTATCAGTTATGACATCATTGTGATGCTTACAAAGTACGGTTCAGGAATTATTTATCTCTCTGAATTTTAAAAAGCCTTTTGTGCAGATTTATTGCTGGCACTTATTTTGAGCTTGTAATCAAATATAAATTTGAATGCTAATGCGAAGTGGTCGCTATCGTGATGCCACAGTAAATGTACGTCATTTATTCAAGACAAACAAGAGTACGAAAGCTCTCCCTGGCTTATCCTTGGAGTTGAGTGAGTCTGTGGGTGGTAGACTAAGCCCTGAAAAGATGGTACCGGTAGTTATAAATAATCTGCCTCCTCCAGGTTCACTGTGATTCAGTTGTATTGAGAGCAAGGACAACCCACACAGATTCATCAAAAAAAGAAGAAAAAAAAAAAAGAAGACGATGGTTTATAGGAAGCAGTCTAGGGCTTCAATACATGACGTAGCGGAAGTGGGCAAATGACTTTAGCCCTTTAAAACTCTGATTCAAAGCCATATGAAGTGGAAGTGGATGTTAGCGAGAAATGAAATTATTTTTAATATTGTTTTTTTTTAAATCTTGTTGACTCCACTTCCCGAAATGATATTGAGGGCTTTTCGATTGTCGACTTGGTGAACCTCAGCATGATGATGATCTGCGCATGTGCCACATTTATCTATCTTGTCCAGTGTCCACTACCAAAATCGAGAACATGTCCATCTTGGTTTTGATGGTCACGTCAATCCAGAATGCCATTATCTACAGCGATATTACATACCTAGCTAGCTGTACTGGTACGTGATTTGAGCACTTTCAAAGTGCCTCGCAACGGGAAAATATGCATATGCATGAAGAATACATCACATGATGTCATCAAGGGGTGTAAACTACCAGAGGGAACATACACTCTGGACGTGAAGTTTGTGAACAGCGTACTTGTTGACACAATCGGAAAGGCTTTAATATTGACTGGTATTCATGAAAGTGTACATGGCCAAGCCTTAACTCTGATGTACATCTATCTAAATTTGAAAGTGGATATGCATTGTGGTCATCCTATTGATTTGTGGAGCATGAGTATTATCATCCCCTTCATCCCTTTGTAAATTTATATAATTATGATATTAAATGAATGAAACTTTAAACGTTATCTTGAAATCAACAACTACATGTAATTTTCATTTCTTAACAAAGTAGAGGTGTCTAAGACCCCTCTTACACATGCATCGGCTTTTTAAGCCGGCCCCGGAGGTGGCCTCACACCTGCAATTTGAAGCCGCCTCGAAACCATCAAACCCCTGCTAGTGTTACACATATCTCGGGCCCGCAAACTTTGCGTCTACACATAGGCCGGCCTCACGTTGCCTTTTTACGAGCTGACGTTGGGGCACACTTCAGATGGCAAGTGGCCCGATTTAATGTTGATATAATGATGACGGGTCACGTCACTTCTGCTTATAAGCCGGCGCCGAGTCCACTTTGGTGTTACACCTACTGATTGCGGGACTGAGTCCTGACTCGGGCCAGCTTCAAACCACATCCAGAGGTGGACTGGATGGAGGCGGCCTTGGTCCGGCCTCGGTCCAGCTTTTCAAAAAAGTTGATGTATTGTTACACATACGTCGAGCCGTCTCTTCAGTCCACTTTCAGAGGTATATGTAACAGGGGTCTACTTGACTGGAGATGCAAAGGTCATTGATTTACCAAGGTCATTTATCTACTTTGCTTCTCTTCACCCAGGTGTAGAAGTGGGTGCCTCTTTGTGTTTGACTGCCTGGAGTGCTTTGAAGTGGAGTGGAGAGGGTGCACAACTATTTGCGAATTAGCAGTTGAATTAAAGCATTGTTTGCTACACAAATAAAGCTACCATTTTATTCTTCTTCATTTTGTTATTTCAATGTGTTAAAAAATAAAGTAATTTTTAAAGTACTGTATAGAGAACTTTACAATATTGCTCCATGAAGCATTTGAAAATTCAAAGCAGGTGCAGTAATGCTTGAAATAAAGTAGACACTCTCACAATGTGTCACGCCAGACTGCATGGATTATTCCATAGACTTTGGTGTGACATCATTTATAACTGTGTCTGTGGGCTATTGCATTGTCAAGAAAAGATCACCACAATAAACTGGTATCCATTTCTTTGCACTATTCTTACATTCTTCTTATCTATTTTTTTTCTAGGAAAAGGAACTTTGTGAACTCCAGTGTTAAAACGTCCCCAACCCCCAACCATGCCAGACGGCTGAGAGCTCCAAGCGTAGAAACCCCCAGGATGACGGAACCCAGGGAAGGAGGGAGTCCGGCCGCTGACCCCTACGCAGAGGTCAGGGTCATCGACTCCCAGCTGCAGCACTTTAGAAATTATTTTGATGTCATCCAGGTACAGTCATGTGGCTTGATTGCGATTTGCTATAGAAGATCACTGTGTTATGGGAATAAATGATTATTATTGTTACTATTTATTTGGCAAAGACAAAATCAAGAAACAGTGAATACAAAACAATAGTGAGATTCAAAGTGAAGCATGTATATGTACATAATATTGTTGAATTTTTACATAGGTTATCAATTAATGATGAACAGTATTCATGAGATAATGATGAACATGGCTAAAATACCAAGATAGATACTTGTAAGAATGAAAAATTGATCAGTAATCAATTGCTCCATGCATCTATCTTTAACTTGCATTGTACATGTATGCTTTGATTAATCTTGCTGCAGGTCTACAAGTGCCGCATCTGCTCCTTCTGCAGTCCCCTTGAACATGTGATAGCCAGTCACATGTCGGAGGTCCACTTCCCACGCCGATGCTTCCTCTGCAAACAGTGCCTCTTCGTCTTTGAGGACCGCGCCCAGCTCAACAGCCACCTCGACTCCGCCCACGGGACGCGCAGCATCGCAGTCTGCTTTGGAGAGTCCGGACCCTTCGTCAACTCCCCGCCGACCTGGCACGCGGGCGTCGGACGATCGTCTGAGGATGATGAGCAGCTTTCGAGACAGAGCACGGAAGAACAGCCGGAGAGTGAGCCTAATAATGGAAGAGTGACGTCAAGCACTGGGAACCTGGCAAATCTACCGGATGATGTGCAAATGGTAGGCAGATATTTCTTAAAGCCCCACTGCACTACTTACAGCTACTTGCACCCTCTATATAGCAAACAATGTCTAATCGGTGACCATTAGTCCCCCATGATCCTCTTTTTCTTATGTTAAGTGAGAGCTGATTAGATGAGATAACCACCTGTCAGTGACCTTGCAGGGTGGTCTAATCCCTCCTGTAAACTGTACAGATGGGCTTTAAGGGATCTATGAAAATGTTGTTCAAACAGACCGGTTTACTAACATATTCAAATTGTATGTATACTTCTTAAACAAAGGTTGTTCTTGACAATCTAAAACTTGCCAGAGACTTGTCCTACATAGCAACAAGTAATGTTTGCAGACTGGATTCTAAGTATTGTTTTGTCATTCATTAATAAGAGGTTAAAGGAATAGCTTGACACTTGGTCCCCAAGAAAGAAATATCTTTTAATTTGAATATTTTAGTAAACCAGCCTATCCTGTGATATTAAGTTCTCCTGCTGTCTACCTGTCAGTTCCTCGATCTTAATGACTTGAAATGGAATCGTGTTGAACCATTGTTGTTTTTGCTGTCATATCAAATCTTGTCCATCTCTTGTGTCCGTTCCAGAAAGAGCTTTTCCCAAGACGACGTGAACACTCAGTAATGTAATGAATTGCATATACTGTCAAACACGAAAAGACATAATCTAAATTATTTTGAAAAGTTACTTTATTCTCTTCTTTCATATATTTAGAAATCTTATATGAGTAAGTATTGCATGATGGTATCATTGTCAAATTGCCTTCTCTTCAGTTGCTCCATGCCTCTGGAACTCCCTCCCTCCTATTCTTCGCAACACCAACAAGCCAGAACGCCTTAAGTCGGGCCTCAAAACCCATCTTTTCAAGCAATCCATGACTATTGGAGGAGCGGGCGCCATTGAATGTTTGAAACGAATAAATGGTGCCATACAAGTGCTGTGGATCATCATCAGCATGATAATCATATTACTTTTGTATTTTGATGTTTTTATTATGTAATTAATGTTTATAGTCAATTACCTTGTGTAATAGTAATAATATGAAGTCTTCACCATTCTTTATTTGCAAGCCCAGTGATGCATGTGATATTAAAATGACTTGAACCAACTCTACATTTGCTCATTACCCTTTTCATCTGAAAAATGCCTTTTTATTTTATAAAGGTAACAGAAGAAAATAGATAAAAAATGTAATGTAAATTAAAGAGTTTTGTAAGGTGTATGTTTTGTAAAGAATTCACAAGGTATTTTCTTTTATCTTACAGGAACGTGGCAAGAGTGTTTCATCACTCAGTGTTCCTACAGAAGGAGAGTTCTTGAGGGGTACACCTTCAGCAGGTGAGGGCAGACAAGAACAAGTCCTGTCCAGAGGTAGTTCTTGCAATCCATCCACCACAGACCAGGATCTGTCTGCAGGTTCAGAACCAGTCCAAACACCAGTGGTCCAGCGTGACAGTGTGGCACATATCTCAAGACAAGCTTCGGAAGAATCTCCAGACCAACCTAGGGTCGAGACTCCAAGGTTGAGCGAAAGCATCAAGGAAAGTTATATCAAGACAGAGCCAGTCAGTCCTGTTAGGATCATGTGTCCGAAAAGGAGACGCCTGTTACAGGCCTCCTACTCTGGAGAGTCGATTGACATTGATGTGGAAGGAAAGAACAGTGGTGAGAATCAGTCTCAAAAGTCCCAGTCAGCTGAGCCTCATGGCAACCCTGTTGCATGTCATCAGGACACAAATCTTGCTTCTAGTCCAGGCAGCAGGAGATCTTCAATATCAGGTGGGAGAGGTGGTGGATCTGGGCGCCGGCCAGAGTCTGTCCTGCGTGGCCTTCTCAGGCGACAAGATACGATTGAGGATATTGATATAGAAGTCTCACCAAACCCTCCAAGCGATACGTCACTGCCCTCAGGTGGTTTTAATATGCCTCGTTCAATGAGCCTGACAGATCGGACCACGCCATGTATACCCAGTACACTGCCTCGCCAAAGTTCTGAGCCTATTGCAAAACCAACGGGACAGCTTGACAAGTCCCCTGAAGCGAAAACTTCAGAGGAGAGTAGCCCTGGATCAGAAGAGAGACAGGGAACAGAGTCAGGCTCTAAGAATATGCTACGTGAGCTTGTCAGTAGAGCTGTAGCAGAAAGAAGACCTGACGGAGTACAGCGGAGAGGTTCAGAGGGAATTATTTTTAGAAAGACTGGAAGCATTGATGAGACTTCAAGTGGACAGCCAGCTCCCCGCAGCCACAGGCAACGTAGCTACAGCTTGACAGAGGGTGATGCCAGGCTACCACCCAATGGACTAAACCCAGACTTTCAAGTAAACCAGCAAGCAGAAGCTAACCGCGAGAAGGAGCAACCTCATGTACCTATGAATTACCCGGCACATGAGCATAACCCTCCTCGTATGGCTTACTACCCAAGGTATTCTGGTCTTGTTCATCAGCCTTTTGCAGTTGACAATGACCCAAGAAAAATGTGGCGCAGTTTACCTACATATTCTTCACAAGCTAGCGTTCAGAGCGAGCCTTCTGTTCCATCAGTTCCAAGCTCTGATCATACAAAAGGAGCTCTGCCGACCCAGATGTCGGAGGACTCATTTCTTTACAATTGCCTTAGGCAGCCAGGCAATGTTGGTCCAAGACGAAAGCGCAGTCCGGCTGCATTGAGTAGCCAGCACTCATCAGATGGAGCTAATCCAAACTGGACAGGCCACAATCAGTTTAATGAGGCGGGTAGAGTTCCCATGATGGGATATCAAGGAGCTTGGCCACACTATCATAGAGGGATGCACCACCATCATATGCTGATGAGACAAAATGCTGATGACAAATCTACTTCCCCTAGCATTTCGTCTAGTACACCTCATAGACTAGGCCTTAAGCCAGACCATCCTATGTATTCCAGTCTGGAAAGATCTTTGTCCCAGCATGGAAGTGGAGAAATGCGCAGTTTTGACAGGAGGAGGCCGCCGATGTTGGAACATGGTGGCAGCAGTGAATCCAGTCAGGAACTTGTCCAGGTGGAAGACATCACTCGTCAGGTTCATCGTGCCATCAGTGGCACGGCTGGACTCTATTCCACAGAAAGAGCAGCTGTAGCCTGGAGTGACCAGTCTTCTGGCAATAACACTTCGCTGGAAGAACAGAGCTCTAAGGACTTGGACAAGAAGCGTAGCAGAAAGTCCACCTTCAATATCTACCGAGAGATTCCAGAGAGAAAGCGCAAGCTAGACCGCGACGAAGAGGAGCGCATCAAGAGTAGCTACAATCCAGATGGCAGCTTTGATTACTTTTCGCTGACAGGATGGAAAGCGTACAAGTGTGAGTTGTGCAAGAAACGGCGATTCAAGACTGCTTCTGAGCTGGAGGAGCACAGGCGTCGTAAGCATTCCCTTCAGCACGCCCATGTAGGTAATGCATCATCATCGTCTTCATCAGGAGTTGGAGCATCCTTAGATGACGGCTCAAGCAGTCCTCAGCTGACATCCCAGCTGTCCAACGGATGAAGAGCAACGTGCGGTCTTACCAAGCGGTTGTTATATCAAGGTGATTTGTTGTTTGGATGCCTGTGCAGAAAGTTAGGCTTTCTACACTTTGATGTCTGCACCAAGATGAAAGCAAAAAGTTTGCTAAGGTTTGTATCGATTGGTGTTTTGAGAGAAAGGTTGGGAGTGTTTGAATAGGATCATTGGTTTATGAGTTGCCTACTTCCATAGTGAGAAGATTGCATGACTAGGCTTCATAAGAAAGCATGTGTATGATAAGACCAAGCTCGATGTTTGAACCAAATTTAGTATGTCATGTGTGCCAAGGATGAATTTTTTATTTTTAATCTTCATTCATTATATATTAAACTTGACGGTAGATGAGTCCTGTTAATTATCAGTTTAGATACTCCTAGATGGTAGTTTTATTGGTGTTTTGTCCCCGTGATCTACTTCATCTAAATCACACAAGGTGCAATGATCATTATTAATGTTTGAAGCAAATTTGTGTTCTGTGCAATGCCAGTATGGTCCAGTGCATGCACTATAAATATAATATTATTCTACAGCTTAATTCATTCATTCTGATATGTTCATCATACAATCATGTAGCGGTAGCGTACACATGTCCATCTTTTGCACAAAAATGTACATCTAAATGTTCCTAGATTAGAGTTTATGGAATCGTATTTCTAGCTGGCACTCGGTCTTCATGTCGTTATCTGGTATCATTTTTTAGTGATCTTGTTGTTCACAAAATGGAACAGTGTACGATATATTAAAAGCAATCGTCCTTGTTTAGTCCATGGTATGTAGAATAATCAGTTTTTGTTGTATTAAAGTAAGAGTGTGCCTGATAAGATGCTTTTGTAAAGAGAGCATTAGAAATTTGCAGCTGATAGGGTTGAACCAAGATATATATTTTTATGATATACTGAAGAATTTTTCTTTAGGGATGGGTGCCCAACTAAGGTTCATATTTGTTTTGTCCAACGTCCGTCTTTTTGTTGTTTTTCAGTCGGCAGCTAGATTACTGTATCCGTTAAAAGGGTATCGTCCACTCTATCGAAAAGCAGCGTTTACAATGAATAATAATTTTTGTTGCGATACAGGTAGATTTCTGAAAGTTTCAAATTTTCTACTTTTTCTTTAACAATTTAAAATCACTAACCATGTTCCAGTGATGGGTTTGTAGAGTATGTGATTGGTTGAAATTGGTTCACATTAATGCTGCTGGAAATTATGATCATGCTGCAAATTGTGTTCGCTGTAGTCCATGAATAATTTTGATCATGCTGTGTAAAATCGCTGTTCTTCACTGACCTTCTTAATGTTTAAGGTAGAACAATGTTCTCATGAGACTTGTACAATGTAGTCGTCTTTCACGTCTGATATTTTGTTTTAAATATAGCTTGTCGTCAAAGGGCCATTTATAGGCCTGTGATTTTCTTGTGAGGAAAGAAAGAAAAATCATTGATTTTTTGCTTATGATATTCAGAAAGCTTCTACAATTACAAATCTGTGAAGTATTTAAACTTTGAGCTGCATTATAAGGAACATTTTACTTCTTTGCAATCAAGACTTTGTATAAATGTTGAATGGTTAAACCTTATACACAACTCTAGATTCAATTTTGGATTGTTGTAATAAAGGTAGAATAGGAAATACTGCAAATATGAGAATTATTTGCTATAATTATATACCGTGTATCAAGCATATTTGCCATTTGCATTTTTGTTAAGTATAATCAAAGATAGTATCAGTAGGTATCATGTACACAACACAAAATCCAGTTTACATCAACCATACATGCTAGAAAAGGTCCTGAAATTATTACTTGTAGATAATTGTAATGTAGATATCAAACCTCAAAAATTAGATTCCTCTGTATTCAAGTAGTTCCCTATCCCCATATGATTGAAAGTTTAAAACAAAAGTAGACCATTCCCTTTTCATCCTATAAATTGCTGGCATTTAAAGTTTAATCCAACTTCACATCACAACGATTACAACTACATGTAGGTACAACTGTAATTGAAGTAGGTTTTGCATAAAATGTATTTCAGTGAATTATAGGAATCTACATTGTACATGTATGTATATGAACTTCAGAACATGTAGTTCTGGTGATTTCTATTTATTTTTTGCTATTACCAATTAGTTACTGGACGAAAGAAAGGAATGCCACTACTTTAAGTACATTCTATGACCAAGAAAACCTAGTCTTTTGTTGAGAACTTAGATTTTCATGAAATCAGCATTTTTGAAGTACTAACTAATATTCATCGGCAAACAGACTGCATTCATGCGGAATATGAGTTTGATTTTATTCTGTTTGTACCAAATGGAAGTACAGTAGGCTTTTACTAAGGCGTAGTACTTTTGTTGTAAGAGTCGAGCTTTATCTTTCTTTTTGTCATTGCGCAAAGAGCGATATGAAAAAAATCAGTCTTTAGAAAAGATTATTTTGCTTCATGCAAACTGGCTGTTTTCCTGTATTAGGTTTCTATTCACTGAATCAGTAAGAGCAGAAAGTACTATTTTGAATTTCTTTAAAAAAAAGCATATATGATTGCTCTAGGCTTGTGACGCGTATGATTTTATGATTGGAGATAAAGGGGTTAGCTGGTTCTAGTCCCGCTTATCTTCCAGAAAAAGTTTTAAGAAACAAAAGAATTGATTATAACTGTATATATGCATGTACAAATTAAGAGTCATTTTGATTGATACTTCATATTTTTCAAGAAGTTGTATGATTTTTTCTCTATGAGTAAATTTGTGACTGGCACTTTTGCCTTCTTTCTTATTCAATATGTATTTTTTGATGACAAAATATCTATATATAATTATATCTATATATCTATATCTATATATATTCCTTATAAGTTGTAAATTGTTCCACTTGTGCTATTTTTGTTTTTTGTTTTTTGTTTGTTCGATGTGTGGTTGAAGATGTTTATAGTGTTGCCTTTATATATATATATATATATATATATATATACCGGTATATATATAAGACATGTGAAACTACTTCATTTGGAAGTAGTCGCTCTGTTCCCCTGGATTCCAATCCTATGTTAGATAAGGAGCATCTTTACTTGCTCCCTAATGCCTGCTTGTGTGCTTCGTTAAACGTGGTTACAATTTGGGTCGTAACTTCCTCAGGCAAGCCTGGCTAGGGACAGAATTAACCTGCTCCAAAAACAACAAAAAAGAGTAAATAAATAAGGCCTGCTAAGACTAGAACTCAAAATGTTGGACCTACCTCAAAAAATGTTTACTACTTGCTTATTTTAATTTAGAAACATTGCTGCAAATTACATAATTATCATACTTAAACATTTTTATACCTTATAGATAAAGATGATTTAGACACAATTTTTGCGCTAACTTTTCGTCATCAGCGTACCAAAAATTTAAGTAGACGCATTCATTTAAATTGAGACAAAGCTATTTTGAAAACTGATTTGGCATTTTCTTACTGATAGCTCTTTGTTTTATAACTTCTTTCTAGTGGTTGAATTTTTTTATTTTTAGGTTGAATTGGAGATTTTCTATGTCCATCACTGCAAGAGTTGGGGGGGGGGGGGAATGGACATCTTTGTTCCTTTTGTAAATAGAAAAATTCAGATGGGACTAATACAACGGAATGTCAATTTTTATCGCTTACATAATCAGTATAGTATAAATTCAGGAACTAAAGATGCAAAATCACAAAGGCTGAAAGAAGAAAAAGACTAGGGGAGGAGTGCATACACTTGTGTGTGGGTTAAATGACATGACACAGGCAAGAATACTTTTATAGGGTAAATTCCAACATTTAATCTGGCTTTAAATGCTTCTGATCTCAAAGGGGGTTGGTTCAAGGGGAACATGGCGAAATATTAATGCAGTTGGGTAGCGCTTGCATGTGCATGTATGTATAGTTCAATTTTTTACAAAGATATTTTGTTCTCTAAACAAACGAGAGGCTTTGATATTAACAAAAAAATGAAAGGAAGTTTATATGAAAATGAGTCGACCCTAAGCCGTCCATTAGACAAAAAGCTTTTATTGTCTAACATTTGTTTTGACTCGTAAGTATGGGAAGTTGTTTTTATCCATGTAATTTTGACAATCTTCCTGGTAAAAGGAATAATGACCCTGTGCTCTACTTGTAATGTAGAGGCTAAACTAGGAATGCCTTTTAAGATACATAAACCTGGGTTTCTTGTAGCATCTGAGAATCGGAAGGACCCAACTCACATGATTTTGCGTTGAGATAAAGACCTTCTGCCGTTCAATAGATGTTATGTTGCCTCATCTCTAGGAGATAAATGATGCAATGCATACAAACTGGCATGGGCTTTATGCATTCGAATTATGAATAAGATGCACAAAATATGACTAAAGAATCGACCAATCTCTGTGATTTCTTAATGTGCATGTTTATGTCATATTTAGATTTCATTTCAAGTCGGAAATTCCAGGTTGTCCATTTGATGCAACATTTATAGGATGCCAAAACTGTCACGAGGGTTAAAAGAGCTTTAAGGTATTTTCATAAAGTAAGTTATTTATTTATGAAACTTTCAATCATGGTAATGATATTTTTTTCTTCAAAATCTTTTGAAGAGATTGATTCATACTTATAACATGGGTTAAAGGTATGTTTTTTTCCTTCAAATCATTGTAGAAGGTAAAATTCCAGAAATATAAAATAATCATGATGCTTTATATTGGAGATTGACTGGCAAAACTAAAACACTGTCAAAAGAACATCAATTTTCAGCATCTGTTTAAAGTAGCATCACTTTTATTTCTCTACAGAATCCTGTAAGACTGTTGACTAAATTTGACCTATTCATAGCCCGCCCGCCTCCCAAGTTTTCTAATGAAAAAAGAGGTAGCTTCCAACAAATGATGTAAAGATATAAGCTTTCTGGAAAGGGGGATTTATTTTATATTTGTTGTGTGTTACATTTGTAATTAGCTGAGGAATTAATCTGTCAGGGATTTTGCTCAATGCATTTGACTTTGTATGGCATGCTCCATTGGTAGTGGATGTTATAGTGTTTATGCCTGTAGGTTGAATACAAAGATTTGTCCTGTGATATTTAATACTAGAATCATGTTTGAAGATTTTTTATATGAATCACCAAGTCAAAAGAAAGGGTCAGGAAATGTTTGCTTTTTAAAAACATGATCGACTCCCAACATTTTTATATTTGTCACCATACACTTGTACATGTATAATAGTGGGTGTAATTTGCCTACACATTTTGTAAAATGCAGAGTTATCACAAAACTTATGAACTATTTTGGTATTGTTGTACTTAAAAACCATTGTAAATACTATTTTGCGTCAACAAGTGATATTTGTATGTGACAGTGCAAAAATTGAAATTGCCATGCATTTGAATGCATAAACATGATTTTCGAGAGATGATAAATTGAATTTTAAGAAGATATAAGTCAAAATGTTGCAATGTTCCTCATTTTGAGAGGTAACATGTATTTGTAAAACGTGTTGAGAAATGTTTTATTGTGTAATAATGTTTTTTGTGTATATCTGAACTGGCTCTGTAAGACAATAAGTAAACGGTTATACAATGTATGCGTGTCATATGGATTGAACGTGTGAAACAAGGCGAGAAAGCACGGTGATACAATGAATATCAACTGTCTGTTGTTTTATGTTACTGGCTGAGATAAAGAGAATTTTTTAGGAAGATATGCAGATATTTTTTAAGAGGAGTATTCAGTATATAGTTATTACTTCACATCGTTGATAATTATTTGAATATATTCTAAACGGGATATTATCTCCATCTCTACTTTTCATTAAGAACATGCTCTGATAGTCCCTGGTATGCTGTATCAAAGCTGGATGAAAAGCCAGGGACGTACTCATATTCTTTTACGAAATTCAAGTTTGAAGACTAACATCAACATTTTTTCTGAATCATATTCAAAGTGAAATGTTTTTGTTTTTCCTTGAGGTCCCTTCCTGATGTATAGGTTTCTATTATCTAAGAAGATGTTTTTAAGGGGGGGGGGGGGGGGTCTGTTTCAGATCAAACAATGAACATTAAAAGACTGCTATGTAGGCCTATCTAATTATTAAATACAATTCGTTCCAGCAGAAAAATGCTTTTTTTTTGTGCACACGTCATGATCTTTGAGTACACCTTCTTTATGAAGCAAACAACAGACAAATTCATTACATTTGGCATGCATGTCATGTTCTGATTATATATAAAAAAAAATACCACTGACAGACTGCTCTGCTCATTTGAACGAGTGTTATGCATGTAATATTAATATGTTATTTTTTTCAAGAGGATTTCATGTACATCCCAACTATTGAATCTCTTTTTTAACCAAGGTTCTTCAAGCACCATCATTGTTGATGATGTGATTTTCAGAATTGAACCTTAAGAAGAAAATGTCCACTCAGAAAGCTCTTGATGTGTTCGGGGTTTTCCCTAGGGGAGACAGTTAATTACCCCCTTTTCTCAGACTTTCAGTATGGCTTTGTTTTTTTGTTTCTGGGTAATAAAAGCCTCATTTGTGTGCTCCGGAGAAAATGATTTTACTGGTACTTTGCAGAAGTACCTGAAGATGTTTAGAGAATTAAAGTACCCAAGATGTTTTTGTCATTTTAGTAGGATACTTCTCTGTCACCTTTATGTCGTTAAGTCATTATGCAGATGGAATTTAATTTTGCTTGGAAATGTCAAAGGTGATTCATAGAGTTGATATACTCAGATAATTGCAATAAGAAGAAAAAAATGGATCAAATCTGATATATTCTTTATCCCATAGCAGTTCTGAATTTCCTAAAGTTTAAACGAAATCCCTTGCCATCTTCAAATTGGCAGCAGTTATGCTTATCCTTCACTTGGTAGTTAAAAATTAAAAAACTTAAATGAAGCAACTGGATTGCCAATTTGTTTAATAATGAACATAGTAATTATGGTAGAGAATATTTCAGACTGGAATCCCAACGCTGTCACAACGTGTATGTCAACTCGTCCATGCATTCTAAAAAGGTTTATGTAATAGCCATCTATTTGCAAATGGAGTAATTGAAAGAAGCAACAACTCTTGTATAAAATAAAAGGGGATCCCAAGTTCTATAATGATATTCACAATTTTAGGTACGGTACATGGTTTGTGTGAAGCTGATAACACAAAGGAATGTACACCTGTAAACGCTGTAAAGAATGAATATGAAAGAAGTGAGGGAGGTTTTTGTAATTCAACTGAATTTTTTTCATTTTTGACAAAAAATTGTGTCTCACTTTGATAAACAAAATAATAAATGTAGACTCTAGTTCTCTTTTAAGAAAGAGAGAGAGAGAGGTAAAAAGAAAAGATTAAGCTACAGGTATTAAAAAATCTCTTTTGACATATTCATAACACCCTGCAAATGTTAATGGCATGAAGGGTTGTATATCAATATACCTCAGAATTAAAAAAGATGTTTTGTAATGTACATCGATGCTGTACATTACATCCATGTCCTGCATTCGTTCAAATGGTATTCCTGATGGGCGGAAATAGTTCCTGATGGTTAATAATCCTTTTCTGAGGAATAACTACGTCTTCAGTGTAGGTGTTTTTTCCGTGGGATGTTGATAATGCTCCTGATGAGTAGAAGGTCACTCCTAGCCTTCGTTCATCCTCCTACACAATGCTTCTTTTACGCTTGGGATGTTGTGTATCTTCATCACTGTGGGTGGGGTATCCAAGGACTACGCATCACTGGAGGAGAGCTTAAAGATCAAGTTGAGTTCTGGTAATAATAATAATAACGATAATAATGGTGGCTTCAAATATAGCGCACATGTCCGTCACGTCGTGATGCGATAACATTGCAAATGAAAAGCAATTGCGAAAGGTGTGGGTAGGGTATCCAAGGACTACGCATCACTGGAGGAGAGCTTAAAGATCAAGTTGAGTTCTGGTAATAATAATAACGATAATAATGGTAGCTTGAAATATAGCGCACATGTCCGTCACGTCGTAATGCGATAACATTGCAAATGAAAAGCAATTGCGAAAGGTGTTGTGACGGAGTAGACAAAAATGTACAGTGAGGCTTTGGAACCATAAAAATGATAAGAAATTTATCAATTCTTGCTGAATGCCATAGGTGCACAGAAATGGGTACATGGGACTACACTCAAATGTTTGGTCCAAACATTTTTATGTATTTCTTGTCCCATTTCAAATACGAGGGCATTTGAAGAGAAATCCTTTTCAGGAGACATTTCTGCTATGATATTCTTCCAAACTGCTATTATAGAATGGAAAAGAGTTGATAAATTATTTTCCATCTTGACCAGAACTCTACCTTCTCTTGAACCTTTAGGATGGGCCAAGCCTTTTCAGTGATATCGTTAATTTCATTATCATATAGAACATTGAGGTCTATTGGCTAGATATATCGGCATTCTGTCATGCACTGTTTTGACTGATCTTTACAAATATGCTGACCCCCTGCCATTTATAGTCTCTAACTCTAATGTACTTTTGTATTTTTTATAACTTCATGAAATAATCAAGCCATTCAAGTCCATTTGTTGGAATGCATCTGGTTAAAATGATATATTTTTTGGTTGAAAATTATTATTGAGTCAATAAATCACTCTGAGATTTCCCGTTTCATTATTATAACTTCATGAATCCTTGGTTAAAATGAATTATTATATTAAAACAAGTTGAAAACAGAGATATATTAAGATAAGTTAAAAACAGAGATATATAAAAACTAGCACTCCTGCAAAAGTTGCTTGTGTTTTTTGTTTTTACATGAATGAAACTCAACTTTCTTTGCATCAATATTTATATTGCTATAGTGACAAAGTGTTCTTTGTATACAAGGAAAACTTGTTCCATTCTATTAGTGATCACTACACAGATCTATGGCATAACTGGTCTTGAGATGTAGTATGAAACTGTTACTTTTCAACTTTAATCTCATTCTTTTACAATATGTGATTGTTTCATTTGTGCTTAATCATGATTCTTGTGCTTGTTTCAAATGTAATGCCGTACTGATGAATTGGTATCACCCAGAATATAGCCCTGTTCACATATGATGGGATGAACTGCCTCGTAAAATGATGCAGCAAAATAAAAACAGTTTACAAGTCAATGATTGGCAAGTAAAGAGTCGAAGAGAAAGTAGTTGCATGCAACTAAGAGACCACTCAACATATATATATATATATATATGTACTTATCTTGTATGCTATATGATACAGAAATGTCAGGCACACTGTGCTTGTGTCATTTTTATTTTGCCGCGGAATTTGTTTTTGGTGGCAGTTAACTGCTTCATATGTGAACAAAGCTTTCAGAAAGAAAAAATTACACAGATGTCACAGAAAATACAGGAGACACGTTGAATGTGAAATGCACTGTACTCATAAGAATGAAAGACTTTTTTTTATTGGAATGGAGTAAAAAGAGAGCCATGTTTGGACTGTATAACACTATTTCACTGTGATGCGCTTCGTCTTCTTGTCATCTTTTGCACAAGGGTGAGAGAAGAAAGAGGGAATTGTACTATATATTCATATAGTGAGAGAGGAGAGCTGTACAATGAAGAGATAATTATGATGATGATAATGAAGAGATAATTGTGATGATGATAATGATGAAGAGATAATTGTGATGATGATAATGATGAAGAGATAATTGTGATGATGATGATGATGATGATGAAGAGACAATTATGATGATGATGATGATGATAATGATGGAAGAGATAATTATGATGATAATGAAGAGATAATTATGATGATGATAATGATGATGATAATGATGGAGAGATAATTATGATGATGATGATGATGATGATAATGATGGAAGAGATAATTATGATGATAATGATGAAGAGATAATTATGATGATGATGATGATGATAATGATGGAAGAGATAATTATGATGATAATGAAGAGATAATTATGATGATGATAATGATGATGATAATGATGGAGAGATAATTATGATGATGATGATGATGATGATAATGATGGAAGAGATAATTATGATGATAATGATGAAGAGATAATTATGATGATGATAATGATGATGATAATGATGGAGAGATAATTATGATGATGATGATGATGATGATAATGATGGAAGAGATAATTATGATGATAATGATGAAGAGATAATTATGATGATGATAATGATGATGATAATGATGGAGAGATAATTATGATGATGAAGAGACAATTATGATGATGAAGAGACAATTATGATGATGATAATGATGAAGAGATAATTATGATGATGGTGATGTTAATGATGAAAAGATGAAAAGATAATAATGATGATAATGATGAGACAATTATGATGATGATAATGATGAAGAGATAATTGAGATGATGATGATGATGATGATGATGATGATGATGATGATGATGATGAAGAGACAATTATGATGATGATGATGATGAAGAGATAATTGAGATGATGATGATGATGATTATGATGATGAAGAGTACCATATTAATCATCTTTGTTGACAATTTCTAAATATAAATTTGTCTATTACGAAATATTATACAAGTGTCCAGCTGTTTTGATAAATGCCTACTTTCAATACACTGAGCTTTCAACCGCTGCGGAATGGCAGAAACGACTTAACGCCATAGAAGATAATTCTTAAAGCCAATCTGTTACCACTTGGAAAAAACAATTAATTTTCCATTTTCATCAAACAAATCTTCTACACAATATCAAATAGTTCTTTTACAAAACAACTGTTACCAGCTACCATTTGTCTATTGTATATACTTTCTTGGGAAAGTTGATTAGTGGCATTGTTACACAGCTCTCTAAACTCAAAATTTGCATGTGAAACCACTTTGTAAAATAAAGGTAGATGTCTTATTTTTTGTCAAAGTTGCAATAATGTAAAAATTGTCCATATTTTTTCGTAAAGTGATTAAAAAGTATTTTCCATGAAGAATACTCTTCTTCAAAAAATCTTACTATCCATTTTATTCTTAGCACCTTAAACATTGATATTCAGACCCCCTTTTGAATACGGAGCAATCAATGACGACTTTTAAAAAATATAATTCCTTTTTCCGTTCCATAAAAATACATGTACAGTTTTTTCTAATTCTTCCACCACATATTCAGGGACAGGTAAAACTGACGCACAAAAAAAAAAGAATTTTGACAAGGCAAAAGTTTTTAGAATTTGTATTTTTCCTATTAAGGTAAAATTTCCTTTTCTCCATACATTTAACAATATCTTAACATCTTTAATACATTTATCGAAATTAAGCTTTAAACCTGAATCAGTGTCGTAAGGGAAAACAATTCCAAGACCCTTAATAGGTTTGTTCGGCCATTCAAACTCAAAATATTCATCCTGTGGCTCTCTATATGACACTATGAACATGACAGACAATGAAAGCGGACAAAATATACAGTTCCTCAGGTAAACAAAGGGACATCCCTTCACTGCTATTATGTAAAAATGTGTAGAACAGGTGTCACATGCATATTCACCTGTTCTACACATTTTTACAAAATAGCAGTAAAGGGATGTTCCTTTGTCTACCTGAGGAACTGTATATTTTGTCCGCTTTTATTGTCTGTCATGTTCATAGTGTGAGCCCAACCACATAGCTTTACACTTATCTTTGTTGATTTTTAAACCAGAAAATGAAGACAAATTATTACTAACTCACAAGGCCGCTTCTGCTGACACTTTATCCGCTAAAATCAATTTTGTGTCATCTGCATATTGAGTCAATTTAATCACATGATCATTTACAAGTATACCTTTAATATCATCTCTTTGTTTGATCTCGCATGCAAGTGATTCAATACAGACTATAAATAAATAAGGCAACAAGGGGTCTCCCTGTCGGACACCTCTATGTAATTCAAAATATCCTGATGAATGTCCATTGCTACGAATACAACTGCTAATATTAGTGTAAAATGACCGAATACAGTTTGGAAAATTCTGACCAAAACCAAATGTATCAGAAGTATTGAAAATAAAATCCCACTCCAGTGAATCAAATGCCTTTTGATAGTCTAAGAATAAAAGAAGACCCGGAATGCCATTTTCTTTGGTATAGAACATAGTATCTATAATGGTCCGAATAGATTTGCCTATGTAACGACCTTTTATGAAACCTGTCTGACATGAATTTATTATCCTTGATTGGATTTTACATAAACGGGTAGCAACATTTTTCTATGCAATTTTAATATCAGCATTGAAATTGGTCTCCAATTTTCCAGGTATCATTCATCCTTTCCTTCTTTTCTAATCAGAGTGATAATTGCTTGTTTTTGCGAAGTTGTTAATTCTCCCCTTTCTAAACTTACACTCACCGATTCTAAATAGATATCTTCTAACATATTCCAAAATGTTCTGTAAAATTCAACAGGAAGGCCGTCATTTCTATGGCTTTTATTTTTGCAGCCATACTATACAAAGCTTCCTTAATTTCTTTCTTATCTAATGGTTTATCAAGAATATTTCTCTCTACATACATTTTGCAAGAATTTCTTGGCCTCATTATTTGCACCAGTCTCATAAAACTGTTTCTGCCTTTTCAAATATCTTGCTGATTTGCATAATAGAATGACATAATTTTTCACTCGATTCCTTTTTTCCAAACCTAAAAGATATTTGATGCTCTTTTCATACCATCTACATCTTGCTCTCACCGTAACACCTTCAACTTTTCTATTTTCTTGAATTTTATATGTACTATTCATAGCTGTTAAATCCTTTTCTAGAACTTCAAGTAATTTCGATTTTACAAGTTTCTTTATTTTTTTTCTTTGAATATTTAGTTGTAAATAACTTGACTTGATATTTCATCCAATCCCATTTTATTTGAGGATCCATATGTAAATACTCTATTTTCCATCTTTGGATATTTTCTATCAATGTTTTAACATAAAGGTCATTCTGTAATAAGGAAGTGTTTACCTTCCAGTATCCTTTTCCTCTGGATATTTCACTCAACTAAATTGTCATACTATAGCAGAGCGATCTGTTCGTAGAGCATAAGTTATCCCTACTTTTTAAACTTTTGGTTTAAGATCATAATTAAAAAAAATAATCAAGCCTACACTGTACAAAAGGCTCTTTTTGCCTCCAAGTGTAACGGGATTCGTTTATATACATATTACGCCAAATATCAATCAAATCAAAATTTAACATAATATCTTCAATCTTTTCCACATTTTCCCCTCCCATTTTATCTACTTTAGGGTCTAGAATGCAATCAAAATCACCTCCAGTTACCAAATGTTCTTCACCATTTCATTCCTTTTGGACAGCATTCAATAAATATTTGTAAAACTGTATTTGCATATTTTCTATATGAGGTGCATAGATATTTGCAACCAACAGGTGAAACTGTCCACATTCTGCATGAATACATAAACTCTTCCACAGTAGTCTCTGTATACCTGTTTGCTTGAGCGCTAGTTACTTTGGCAGCTCGGCTAACGACCAGGGTAATATGTGTAAAGCACCATGAGCGTCAGAAACTGGCGGATACCGGCGCTATATAAATAACCATATTATTATTATTATTTAATCTTTATATGAAATCCATTTCTGAAAAGATAGGCAACCCTTGTACTGTGTGTCGTGCCATGACAAAATAAAATAGTACCACTTCATTCACTCGTCCAATAAATTTCATCTTTTTGACAACTATGAGTCTCCTGTAACATTACTATATCAGTTTTGATTCCACACCCAGTGAAAAATACTTATTTTCTTTGCATTTAGCATACAGTGTGTACCTCTCACATTTAATGATAATATATTAAAGACATGATCATGAGGGTTCATCATCTATACAATAATTCTGCAAACTTGTATAAATTATAACCCGAGAGTTGAAAAAAGAAACAAATAAACAAAAACAGTCATAGAGTTCGGGCAATATCTCCGCATCATGTCAAAGTCTGTCCGTTGTCTTCAGTTGAAAAGTAAATTGCATGCATTCTTGAAGCTCCGTCCGTCGACGCATCTATTCTCAAATAAATATACATGCTTCTTTTACGCTTGGATGCTGTGTATCTTCATCACTCACATCACTGTGGGAAGGGTATCCAAGGTCTACATGTGCATCTCTGAAAGGATAAGTCGACAGGAAGGGGAAAATAGGTAGGAAGGGGGATATAGACTCAGAAAAAATATAGGAAATCAAAAGGCAAAACAGCTAAAAGCTAAAATTAAATACTAAAACCTCTTCTTCTCTGTAAGTCACACTCTTTTTTACTTTTATTTTTATTGTTGTATCTAAGTTGAGGGCTGCGGGCACGTCAAGATACCTTGCCTATTTCTGTAGCCCTCCTGCATCTAATGTATGTTAATTATGCATTCAATATATTTGTTTAATTTCGTTAATTATCTGTATAAAATTATATACACTTAAAATATTGTATCAAACCATATTATGTTCATGAAAATGTATGATGAAAAAAAGATGCAGAAACCAATAAATCAAAAATCAAATCAAATCAAATCAAACCTCTTGCTGGGATGCATAAACCATGCAACAGCCAAATAATAAAATGACAAAACTATGCTCTTTTAAACTGGGTTAGAAAAATAGTTTTTATTTGTAGTCTGCAGCTTCTCCCCCTAAATTCAAACATTCATGAAAGAGAAACAGTTGCAATTAAAAGATCAGCCTTTCTTATAAATGTGATTCATACACAACATTGTTAAATATTACATGTCACATAATTAAACTGTTTCAGTAAAGTACATATCAGTTTTTAATAGTAACCCAGATATAGCCCAACCAAAGAAAACCATGGATAAGAACAACAGTCTTATATTTTTTTTAAATAAATGTAATGCTTCCTGAGAGAAATTTCAATTATTCAAACATATTTGTGGCTTACACCCAGTAAATAAGATTGATTGATCGATCTGTATTGAAAAACAAGTCAGAAAAAATCTTGGAACCAGTGGGACTTGTCGTAAGACTGAATAATCCTGGATCAAGTGAGTTAAAAGTGAGTACCGGTACAGCAACCGTCTCTATTTTTCTTCCTCTCATGTAAACCTACAGATAAAACAAACCCTGTATGCTCAATACCCCATTCTTCCAGAGTGCATTGATTTATGTCCTAAACTTAGAACGCTTAGAAGAGGAATAGGAGGATACAATCAGTTCTATATTAGCAAAATATATGGGTTTGGATTAGTGAATAGAGATGCATTTGATAATGGTGGTGACACTGTAACCCTTGTGGTGCTCTAATACCATTACCCTCGTCATAGCCAAGTAAATTTATTGTACTCAAGTACATAGGATATCAACTACCATTTACATAATCACCTGGGTGTAGGGTGTCAAATGCAGATGAACGTCTTGCAAAAGAAAGGTATTGTTGAGTTGGGATTTGAATCCTCGAGCTCTTGATTTTAAAGTGTAGTGAATTAACCATCATATCACACCATCTCCACATCATGCTATTCAATACATTTACAATGACGGTACACATCTTCTCTGACAGAATACATTAACTATCCAGAAATATTTTGAATTTCTCTATGTATTAGTTAATACAGTAATGTTTCATCTGAATAAGCAATTAACTTCTCTATGAATCTATCTAAAAAGTAACTGTGTTACTAAAAAAAAAGTAAGTTGCAGCATCTTTGATAAATAACCAGACACCCCCTATACACTACTCACATGTGAAGTAAAAACACGGTTTATACATAATTACTCTCAATACTAAAAATATGAACTGCATTCATACATCAGCTAAAACTGGAATACACATTATAAAAAGTACTGCAGTACATTATTGATACACATGACATTCTTGTCACTAAAATCTAATTTACTAGAAGGCAAGCTTAAAAACCATTAACAAAATTTTAAAAAATTATGTTGAAAAGTAGGGTTTAATTTTACCCTTGTGTGAAATAAGGCACATTTCTTAAAATATAAACCATTGCATACATGTAATTATCTCAGCTTATAATTCTCCCAAATCAGCTATATATTTTCCTTCAAAGAAGGATAACTAAATTTCCCTTTATTGCTTTGTTTTGCTTTGCTAAATAAAGGTTTGCTTGAGTATGCAAGCCACTTTAATATATTTACTACCTATATCTAATATAATAATTAGAATGTAAAGCATTAAGCGCTATACAAATGTGACTATCGTAAGTATACCAAACTATCATCACAAAAGCTGAAATACCAGCATTTGAAGAAGCCACACACTAAAAATATGGAAGCATAAATAGTATGCACTGTATATGTACACCATATGATTATACAACCCTCTTGGGTATTGTTCTTTTGTACATGATGATATGGAAGCAACATGATTGTACACAGTGCTGCATCATGTATGACTTCTGCATTCTTTATCTTTTGTATCTAATGATGTATATCATAATTTGTATCTGGTTGCTATAATATCATGTTTCTAGTTTTTTTTAAACAATATTCACATTAAAAATCCTTAAATACTCATTCATATACTGTAAGAGGTCACAAAGTATCTATATAAAAAACTGATATGTTACTGAAACCTGTTCTAATATTGCTAATAAGACTGGTTTAGTAAAAATTCATACCTATGTCATATAATATAATAAAACAGCCTTTCAGTAGGCTTGAATTTTAATAAGTACTAGGATAAGTATTTACAACTATCAGTGAAATAGGTGTCGTCACCTAAAATGTCAAAATCTTTGGTGTTACTTTAAAGAGGCTATAAACAAAGAGTAATTATGGCAGTGAAAAAAATACACGGGGGCTCGGGGCAAATTAGCCCCCTGAAATGCCCAAAAGAGCCCCCAAAAATCAGAAAAGAGCCCCCATGAATTTACATAGAGTTCAATGTAAAACAAATTTTAGAATGTTATTTTCATGTAGGCAAGCTTGAAAAGTAGCCCCCGAAAAATAAATATTAATTTTTTCCTTGAATTATGGCAAAATGAGTTGTCTGTACAAACAGGAAATCCCTACACCATTACTCAAATAAACAACATCAAACAAGTTATTCTTGTTTCTTCAATTTATCACATTATTCAAACTTTTGTAGTGCTGAAGGCATGTTAAAACAGCTAACATTCTTAAATCGGTATTTGGTATACAATACAAAGCATAGTCTAAAACTAAGAGTTTAAAAGTCGCCTCCACCGATTACAATACATTATTGTACTGGCTACTACTTGTGTCGTCATCACCACCAAATGTCAAAGGTTACTGTACGTTTACAAATTTCAGTAGGCGTCAAAGTAGGATTTTTAAGCATGTACCTTTTTGATGGGCTATAATTTGTGCATTAATGAAAAACAAGGTTATAAACAAGACATAAATGGTCATTGCACGTTACCCAGAAAATCCTGAAGGTGCTTGAACAATGTGTCATAACAAAATTATTTCTATGGCGTATTGGTCAGACTTTACATACAGTGTGATATTGAAGTGTTACTAAGCATGTTTTTAAAAAAAGAAGACTTTACTGGCCTTTTGCAGGAATAAAATACTGTCATACTCAAGGTTTGGTGAGGAGGTCAAATTTGGGTTAAAAAGAATGGATGTTAAGTTTTTGTGCACATTCAAAGCATGCATGCCTTAACTATCTAGCAGCAGATTGCCACGACCAGCAATCCCTGTATATTCAAAAGTTACAATCCCTGTATATCCAAAAGTGCATCAAATCACATTTCGTCGTGAAAGTGTACCTACAATTTTCTCTAACTTTGATAAAATATGCCAATCTCAAACTAACTTTGCAAGGCAATATAGGGCACTTTGTAAACACCAATGTTTCTTATCTACGGCTAGTCTTTCCAACGTAACCTCTGATCTTAATAAAATATATACGATAATGACTGACATATTGCTATCACATACTTTTGTAAGTATCATCAAGGCTCTTCCTGACTTTTTTGGCTTCGGACGGGCTGCGGGTTTCGCCCTCCCCAGATCGCTTTTGGGAATCAAGTGGCGTCATTGCTGAGTCAAGGAAGTTGCCGGGCTAAGGAAAATTAAAAAATAAAATACCACACAATTAATTAAGTTATTCAAACCTTATAACAATGACTGGGGGTGCGATAAGGTGACTTAACAATTATGGAAAGCCGTTAGCACTTTTTAAAATATTTTAAAAGTTATTTTAAAAGGCATAAAATGTTGATCTAAATCATTCATATTTTCTATTTTCAAGGAGATTTTATGTTCTTACTGTGGAATCTATGATAATTCTATAACACTTGAATTTTTGCTTTTGAATATATTTTATTTAAGGCTACAAATGACTCTCCATAATGTTTAAGTCCAACTTACAGTTAGGTTCGATTTTGGATCTTTGTGAACCCCCCCCCCCCCCACCCCAGCTGGTTATATAAGTACATTACAAATTTAGCTTCAGATTAGTTTATTTACAATGTTCAAAGTATCATATGAACAATGAAGCGCATAACATCAATAGTATTAACAAAATTATTACATTTTCAACAAAAATGATGTGTTGCATTAATATGAGTAAATAGTAATAAAATATTTGGAATTTTACAATTTACACGTTTAATACATCCAATACCCGAGTTATAACCTTTAGAATACTTTTTCTTTGAAAAGAGTAGCAAATGCTGAAAAGCAAGGCTTGTATATGAAATGTTCAAATTAATTAGGTGTAAAGATTCTATAACTGTACACGAAGAAATTACAATAACATAAAGGCATTCAATAAAGAAAAAGAAAAGTTTAATGAAGCATAATGTTGGTAATTAAAATAAAGATTGTTTTCTTGCAAAATCATTTCAAATAAATTGAAATGCAATGATAAGAGCAGAGTGTGACCGGACATTTGCTGCGCTTCATATCATCAATGACCTTGGGTTAGGGTTAAAGACTTTATTATAGTGTTAGGCCCAAGGTTAAAGTTAGAAATTTGATTACGGTAGGAAATTGACCGCAGAGCAAATCTGAAGCACATTTGAGCATCACTTTCATGGTATCTTCCGGCTTACCTTTGGTTTACTGAACTTCTGTTTGTCACACCATTCAGCGAAACATCTCTCGGCCTTGGCAACATTCTCCGCATCACGATGCTTGCAGTAGAGACGGATGTAGTGCTCTACAAAATTCTCTGGAAGCATCTGGGACACCTGATGTCAATGAAAAATATATATGCATTACCATTTAACTAACATTTTGTCCCTAATGACCTTAAAATCAAATCAGTTTATCTATTCATTCCTGGACTCGGCAAGAGGATGGGTCCTTCAGAGCTGCCAACCTCCAGAACAGAAAATCAGTAATCACAAGGCTCAAAATCAGTAATTTGGGGTATAAATCAGTAATTTCTTATGCGGCGCTATGAATCTAAAAAAACGACACGCCAACACTGCGCGGACGCATGATTATCTGAAATTTTTGGTGATTTTACTCACACAAAGATGTTAAGTATTGAATTTCAGGTCATCACAACACAGTTTATCATGAAAAATGGCTCCTATTCACAGCACTCGCTACGATAAATCATATTTAATTCATTTAAAAAAAAAAAAAAAAAAAAAAAAAAAAAAAAAAAAAAAAAAAAAAAAAATCATTTTTTTTTTTTTTTTTTTTTAAATCCGTAATTTGAGACAACATTCCGTAATGGTCGTTAATTTCCGTACCAATTACGGGAAATCCGTACTAGTTGGCAGCTCTGGTCCTTCAAAAGGTGATTTTGAAAGTGGATACCTGTAGGCCAGCGGCAGCCCCATAAAGTAAGGCCAGGGGGAAATGACTGTCAAAAGCAGCCAATGGCCACCACTGCCCCCTCCAGGGATGATAGTGAGCACTAAAAAAAATAAAGGTTTTTTGTTTTCCCCTCAATCATGCCCCCCTTGAGTAAGAAAATAAGAAGAGGATTCGCGGGGAAAAATGGCATCTAACAACATTCCCCCTTTCGAGTAAGAAAATTTGGGAAAAAATAGGGAAGAATAGAGAAAATAAGAGGGGAATCAGGAAAATCAGGATAAAATAGGGAAGAAAAAAAAATCTGGTAAAAAAAAAAAAAAATTTAAATCGGGAAAATTACAACAAAAAAAATCGGGAAACCGATTTAAATCGGGTTTTTATCAGGCCTGCCCCTCCTTCCATACTCATTCCAGTGTTCAAGAATACCACAAACTGTTGGTATGGATAATAGGCAATAAACTCTTTATAGACTATCCACCACCATCACTACCCCCCCTCTTTCCTCCAATCAGTACGAATACCTCCATACTGCCTTGTATGCTACACAAGAGCACAGATAATAATTTACTGAACATTACTGGCAAGTCCCTCTAAAGCATACATCTTTATGCTGAAATGGTCTGTATGAGAATTTCCCTTTTGATCATTTTATGTTACCTCGGGAGCGCCAGGAGGGTCAAATCTGACTGACATGAGCGCCTACAAGAACCCATTATTATTATTATTATTATTATGATACAGAAAGTTATTTTCCATTGGTACACGCAAGGTAAACGTACATTTAACATGGTCTCATGTGCTGAGTGCCAGAAGGGCGTAACAGCAAGTTGCATGAAAATCTAGATAATTCCTTACCTGTCCTTTCCTAATCTTGATGGCCCTGTTCAGGTCTTCCTTGGAGTAGAACCTGACGTAGTCGACAGGGTTCTGGTTCCCCATTCCATAGTCCATCTTCACCACCTGAAAGACATGAACAAAAGAAGATAGGGAAATATTAGTTGGTCTAGTGGTACAATCGGTGATATGCTCAGCTCTCAAGCCTTTGTCTATAAACTGACTCTAAAGCAGGGCTCCCACTTAGCCGAGTTGGAGCCTCGAGTTGTGGCGAGCTGGAGCGATCTTATGGCAAGCCGTTTTATCATTAAAACATATTTTGCCATAAGATCGCGCCAGCTTGCCACAACTCGAGGCTCCAACTCGGCTAAGTGGGAGCCCTGCTTGATGGACCCCAGTTCGAAACTGAGTCAAGGTATAATTTAGTAAGTGTTGTATATTTTTCATTTCATTAGCATTAATGAATTCCATCAATTCAGTCAAACTTCGTAGTGACGTTCTTCTATGAGTCCACACTACCCAAGTCAGAAGGGTACGTCGTATCGGGTACTTACATGTACAACCAGGTCATCTGGATCAAGCTGGGGTCCTTTCAGCTCCTCCTCTGACACAGCTAGACAGATCGCTTTGCTGATTTCCAGTGGTTTCTGGAAAACAAAGAAAACAAATGCATGTGTTATCCCATCCAGTCCAGAAGGTATTCAATATAGAAGATACCAAGAGCTACAGATATTACTCTTTATGTTCGAGCCACTTAAACA